TTCCCTTGCAAGGTCAGATAGTGAGTCTGGAGTCATTCCCACAATCCAGATTTATGAGAATTTCTAGTTTTTCTCAGTATCCTATAAAAATATCTGCAAGATACCTTTGTCAATTTATTTAAAAAAAACCCCCACCAAACAAAAAACAAAAACCCAAATGATAACAATAAATAATTAGCTTTATTTTCCCCATTAAAATAAAGACAACTTGGTTTAAAATACTTGAAACAACTTCAGAAATTACTCATGGTTTATTTTTTAAACACTGCCAAGCACAAAATATCCAGCTTTGCACTTTTTCTGTTCTGGATTTACCTATCAGTAATTTAAATTTTCACAGCGTGGTAAGTTAATAGATATTTGTCTATGCTGTTATGATGGATTCAGTCGGTTTCCTAAATAATTTATTCTTAGTTTAAACCACAACCACCAACCATCAAAGAGGCCCCACAGCGTTCTGTTTCTTTCCCTGATTAACACCAAAGATTTTGCTGGTGCAAATATTGGAAAAACAAGTGTACTGTTGGGTTAAACATTTGCTTCATTTAAATTTTTTTTATCTGTTTTTAAATGCTGCTTTAATAATCTTTCTTGATAGGGAGCAGTTAAAATTCCAGTGGGAAGGAATGACAACCTGCAATCACAGTCAACTATGACTAAATTTTGTCGTCATTTTAAACATTGTGTCTCTTTATTAGCGCTACACTACATTATAGAATTTGATAAGCTTTCCAGAGGTTAATCTAAAAATTGACAACTAGTTTCTTACCTGAAACAATATGCAAGTTCAGCAAATTGATTTACTTCGGAATATTCATTGTGAATATTCTAGGCTTTACACAGGTTTAGACGTGACAGCTTGACTTCAAAATTGGTTTGTATTTTATCAAAAGCACGTTAAAAATGTAAAGAGAGAAATACAGCATTAGACCTTAGGTCAATAAAACCTTCTGTCAGCCCACCAATTTACCTTCTTCAGAAAGAGAATGAAAAAGTCAACTACTTGCACAACTCTAGCCCAGGTGAGATGCTTTGCCACCTGTCAACATCCACTGCTTACTTCAGAAATGACACATACCTTCATGTGGGATGTGGTTTTATTCTGTATAACCAACCTCTAAGAGGCATGCTCTAGTTACATTTATGTATTGCTGGCAGAATTTGCTTGTTTGCAGCAACTTCGCTTTTGCTTCTTTTCAATTCATTTTAGACCAGAACTGGTCATCCATTCAGTGTAAAATTGAAAACAACTCCTTTATGATCAGTATTTTTAAGCATATAAACTAGACAGTACAATAGCATACACTCAACCTAACAAAATGCTGCCTAGCCAGTGTGGGGAACAGATAATGTAACATTTTTAAGTGCTCCTTATGAATACACAATAAAATTCTAGATGGGGTTGGTTTCACTTTAATTTGATTTCATTTTCTCCAGAGTCAGCAAAGTCTGGTATGAACAAGTTATTGCACTTTATGAAATGTTTCTACAGAAGTAGAAATGTCTCAACACCTGTTTGGGACAACAGGAGCTGAGTTTCCCTCCTGCATATTCTCCTAGGCTTAGAATCATGGAATCACAGAATTGTTTGGCTTGGAAGGGACCTTAAAGACCACCGTAGTTCCAACCCCTCTGGCATAGGTAGAGACACTGTCCACTAGAGTGCTCGGAGCCCCATCCAAAATAGTCTCAGTAATTTAGGGGAAATACGCTGGAAAAAGCATATGGGTTATTTGCCTCTGCACAGACCCTGAGGAGAAAGAACTAAAAATGAATGGCCTGCATGGTGTCTGTTTCCCTGGAATCATGGAACCCCTTCTCAGTCAAAGCACAGTGGGCAGAACTACTCCTGCCAATCCATCAGCAGTGCCACAAGCACTCACTTTCCTGGCAAGAAGTGGGGTTCTCTCCAGTAGCCCTGCCCATGAGGCCTGTCAGGACTGCATTTGGTGCGGCAGCACCTACAGGCACTCACAGAACCCTGTACTCTGTCTGCACCCTCCTGGGCCACGGCAAGGCCTGAGATTTTCACCAAACAGCGTGGTCCTTGGACTTGCTCGCAAATGACACAAACCCCTCTGTCACTTCACTGAAGGGAAGGCAGGAGGCCATGGCTTCCTCCTGGCAAGGCAGAGAGCACCGTGAGAACATAAGGCCACTGCCCTGTCCACACATTATCTGACTTGTAGAAGTAAAGTTATTCCAGTTGTATTTTGTATGGAACAAACACTGAACTATCTAATAGGAATAAGTTATAGCATGGATAAATCTACTTTTTAAAGCTGAAAAAAATTTAACAGAATGCAATGAGATCACATGGATTATTAACACTTCCGTGAGGCCAAAGGCCTAAAAATGGCCATCATTGATATAGCAAAGTTATCTTTTGAAGATGGAGGCAGGAGAATTAGTCCTCTTGTTTAACTCTTATGAGTGACATAAAAAATTTGCCTTCATCTTAGTCATTACCAAGCTAAACTGATAACATCCGTAACCCTCAGGAGTTTAATTGTGTTACAGGAAAAAAAATTCCCAATTTAAATTACTTTTTGTCTTGAAAATCAAAGCCTAAAGGGCAACACAACCAAAGATTCTCCCTCGTAAGAATTTCAGAAACTGTATTTTACTGTTTCGATGTCAGACCATTTGTTGTATTTGGTTTTGCTTCTTCCCCTGGAGACTAAAGTTAGAAATTTCAACAACATCATAAAGGGCTATAGCTTGCTGCAGTCCTACTCCACAATCTTCCAGTGAAAATTTAACCCTATATATAAGGATTTAATATATAAGGATAGTATATATGGGGTTTTCTGCTATTTCAACATGAAATTTCTCCACTTTGATTACTAGATGGCTGCTGAGTGCAGATGGCCACTTGTTTTGCAGTGTGTTCATTGACAGTGCTTGTCATATAAACAGTTATGATGATGATGATTGTTTTCATTTATAGTCCAAGCCTTGGAGTAAAATCTTCTGAGATGAAAAGCTAAACACTTAGTAACAAATTTAACTTGTTCCCTAATGCATATGAAATGAACATATGCAGTTACTCAGAGACTACTCAGAAAGTTAATTACAATGTTATCATGCTGTTATTAGCCAAAGTATGCCCATCATTCTTGACAGGGTCTCTACCAACATTAGTTATCATGCACTAAAATAAACTGCAGTTAACACTCCACCACATGAGGTAACGAGGGCTGGAATTGCTCAGAGAATGACGCAGGCAGGCGTTATTCAGATAGTTCAGTTGCCTGCAGGAGGCAGCACAGGGAGCTCAGTGGCCTGGCCACACAGCAGAGAGCAGCCTTGAGGCCAGGGCTGGACTACAGCAGGGAGTACCTGCCTTTCTCTGAGATATTAGGGACCACTATTCAGCACCAAGCAAGTGACTTTGCTGAGTGGTGATAGAAAAGTACTGCTCCCTGACATGAGGTTTTATGTACGCCACGCAGTCATGCCATGTGTCAGAGCTAGTGAGGCCTACCAGATCAGCACTAGTTTTACACTGATCCAAAATCTCAGGGGCTCTGCAGATTAACTGTGCAACAAATGCAAATTTAGTGAAATGCCCCAGGTTCTGGTAACTGGTTCACATCTGAAACAGACCATCAGCACACTTCCCTTGCAAGTACCAAGTGTAACCAGATAAAACTCTTAATTATCAGACTTGGTGTTGGTGGATGATTGAGGAAATGACATGCAGATCACATACAGACAAATTGTAATAATTCTTCTAGCAAACCTCCCTATTCCAAAGTAAAAAGTAGAAAACAAAGAGTTACCACACAACTTCTGCTGACAGATGCTGGCAGCAGGGAACGGGGAGGTTTTGCATTCAAAAATGTGAGAGCCTCTGACACAAATGCCAAAAGAGGAGAGAAAGGCCAGCTTCCTCTGCAATCAGAGGGAAGGTTTTGAAAATTATTACTCCCCAAAGGGTCAGATTTTTAAAAGCATCTGGTTATCTGGTAAGATTATCAAAGCTTGTAGGTCTTTTTAAACAGCTAAACCCCCTGGAAAAAAAAAATCTTACTTAATAGCTGAATCATCCCTTAGTAAAGCAAATAAAGTTCATTTCAGCTTTGAAGGTGGAAGATCAGTCCTTAAAAGGAAAAATCTGAAAATGGAAATGAGCCTTCTCTTCCCTCTTCCATCTGCAAGGTACAAAAGACAGAGGCATACAGAAAGGAGCAGTTTTACCCTGTGATTGCTGCAGGTAACTAATAAATAATTAAAAGTAAGCCTTATGTTTGCAAATAATTATTTCAACTGTGACCATCTGGGCCTAAACTTTTTAGCAACAATTCTGAAGTATCCTGATGACATGCCTCTGATGAAAACATGCAAATAGTAGAGATACTGAATGTGGCAACTTTAAGTAGTCCAGGTACAGCCACAAATTAATTGGAATTAATTACTCATCTACCCCTGGTGAGCTTCTCTGTGTTATGACAGCTAAAACTGAAATAGAAGGAACTGAAGAAATTTTTTCTTAAGAGAAATAAAGTATTTGGTAACAAAAATCTCTCTCATCTTCAGAGAGAGATATACACTGATGTTCTCTATCAACTCATCAAATACAATCTAAGTTTCTTTTTCTCTGAGGCAATTCAAATGGGAATTATCTTTCTCTCAAAAAGGAATATTTCTGCTCACAGTCTTACTGTTTTCATAACTCCTTCGGCTTGTATGGTTGAACATACAGTCAAGGAAGGCTAACAGAAAGGGGAGAAAATTATAGGTATACAATATGAAAAGAAGCAGCTCCTGATACTGAATTATAGTGCTGAATTAACAGACTCTTCCCATTAATACACATTAGTAAGTTCCTGCAGATCTCTGCCTTTATGACATAGCTTTGTGAACAAAAAAGTCAGTAATAGTACCAAAAAAAAGGTACTACCTAGGACAGCATAGACCATGTCAAGAGTCATGGAAATGTTAGTTTAATGATAAAACCCTTAGTATGTTATTAAAAAAACCAACAAGGAGCGTGGTTTAATAGCATCAGCAGAAACTTATTTTTATTTTTTAACACAAGTCATTTGCACCTTCCATTAGGCTCTTCCACACAAGATGGAAGTTCTTTTTTTTTTTTTTGAAAGAAAAATTGGACATACAAAATCTTTTTTCTGCTTGTTTAGAAGCCTTGTAAAAATTCTTGTAGCTGGGCAACTATTTCTGTATCCACAGTTTCCATAAGGGCCTGAAAACCTTGTTCTCCCACTAATTCCTGCTGTGCCTTTAGCTTCTCATAGATGAACTGCTGCAATGACACAGTGTGTACAGGGTCCTTCAAGGCAAGCTGTGGAAAACATGTAAGAGAAAAATACATAATAATGCATTAAAAAAATATTCTGTGACTTACTAATTTCTGTTATAACTTCAGCTCAGGAAAGAAATCTGCTTTTTTTTTCTTTGTACTTAACTGAGAAACAAAAAACTTCTGAAAAATGATCAAATTAATTATTATCAAGGCAAATATCAGTTTAAAACTATTTGAAGCAGTATCAAATCATGAGAGTCTTATACTTTGCTCTAAGATTTTGTGTTTCTGTAAGATAAAACAATTCAAAGCTGCTTTATTATTGAATGAGTTTTCAATAACTCCTAAAAATCACATCAAGCACTTTCATGATGGCATGAACTACAGTCAGTTTTATTTTATTAGTAAGAAAACAGAACATAGAAGAAGTCGAACTATTTAGACTAGCTTAACAACAGTTAAAATAAACTGTCCATATACATAAAGAACAGACACACTTCAGTGGTAGTACCCTATAAACCTCATCAGTCCAGCTGGATTATACAATTTTCTTTTGGGCAGAGAGGGACAGAGTATTTGTCACTCTTTTCCACATGTTAACTGCCTCTTAATGAAAGCAAAAAGGTAAAATAAGGGGTTATATTGACAGAGGATGTATTGTTAATTTCAGTGTCAGCAGACGTGTGGCAGCATTTGTCCCTCAGTCCACCAGGGGGTGGAAGATGGGGACACCTGGAGCTCGATACATCATAAAGAAGTAGGATGTTAAAATCAATGGCCAATTAATGCAGATCTATGATCTGTTCATCTCAAGTGTCAAAACCAAACAACACTACTGTTTATGCTGGAAGGTCAGGAAACAAAATATAATGCCAAATCTCGAAGTCCACTGAAATAGGAGACTTATGAGCCTGTAATACCTTGCTATGGTGTTATTTCTAAAGAAATAAGGCATATTAAACTTGCACATCAGCTCTTTTGGCATGATTAAAAGAAAGAAATATTTGAGTGTTAATATGGAGTAGAAGAAATTAAACCTTAAGATTACTTACTTAACATTACTCCTAAAACGGGAAAATACTGAGTGAAGTGGCCACATAAATATAAAACAGATTAAAACTTCCAAACCCACTGTAATTACTACAAAAGAAAAGTTAAGTCTTATTTCTTACAAACAACTCCAGTAAAAAAGCAGGCTGGTTTTTGGCCTCTTCTATCACTGCTTACAAGTTCTTCTTTCTTATTATGGTCACTGCACCTTTGATATTTTAAGTCTCTTAAACATTCCCTCAGTATTCCTAATATTGGCTTTTTAGCCTTCGATCCTTCACCATTTTGTACTGTACAGCTATTTCACATTTCAAAGGTAAGATATGATCACTTTATTACCTATTCTTAACATTACCATCTTTTGAAAAGGGAAGAAATTGTAGTAACAGTTTAGTATTCTGTAGTATTTTTTTTCAGTAAATGTAATTTGAATCTCTAGAATATAAAAGACTTTTCTAATGAAATTTCTAAATCAAGATTTGCCAATGTTAGGGACATCCTTGTTGTAATAGCACTAGCACAGTCTACAGGGAAAAAAAAGACTGTCTTACCAAGCAAAGAATCTATCAGTTTCTGAACAATTTGCATTTGTTCACCAACAACTGCAATTTGGGACATATAATGCATTTATAATTAGTTAGTTTCAGTAAGTTCATAGCTCTGAATAGTCATGTATAAAATTACTCCAGGGAATTTTGCACAGAAAAACAGGTATTAAAATTGCCAAATACAAGTGTTCTCATCCTTGTAAGCCTGACACAGCAGCAACTAAATGAATGACAAAGTCACCTTGGGAAGTGATGCCAAAAAGCCTTTCTTTTACAACCTTTTAACCTACAAACCGATTAATCTATGCATTTAGTTAACTGTATGACTTGTGCAAGCCTACCATAAATTCTTGTTTAACCTAAAGTACTCAGAATAGGAAGCCAGAACAAATTGCCTTAAAATATCAACTCTGAGTTTTCTTTCTCTTCTACTAAGAAAAATTGATTTAATCAGCAATTTCATATTACAAAGTTTATTCTCCAGACTTAAGTCAACGGTAAGTAAACTTCTGCCTTTTCATATGTCAGTGTTCACTAATGAGCCTCAGGGCCAAATTTTTTTCCAATTTTAAAAAGCTACTAGAATGCAAGTATGTGTGTAATACTCTTCTAGCACCCCAGTGGTGATCTTCAAAGTCTGAACAAAAGAGCTGTATTGTTTTGAAAACAAAGGGTTTGAATTCTTGCTTATTTGCAAAATTTGCTGGAATGTCAAGTCTGAGCTTTCTGTAGCATCTCTTATAATAATATGATGAGATGTCCCAACTCCCCAGGACACCTCATGGCTGGTGATGATGGGTTTCCAAACAATCCTCTGAATCATCTCAGCAATAATATGGAAAAGGAATTAATCTTGAAAAAACAATCTAAGTGAAGAAGATGACTAAACTTAATATATTACATAATTCAAAGTTAATATCTTTTAGTCCTAATGGAGCTGCCAGACCTGCACAGTGTTGGGAGTTCAGGAATATGCTACTCAAATAATTATTATAATTCCACATTTTCTTTTCCATAAAACTTCAGAGAACTTAGTCAACTTTGTATGTAGCCTTCCCATGAAAAGGAACATGACCAAAACACTTTTGCTGCGTACTTACCAACATCTGTTTTATCAGGAGAAGTGAGAAACTGCACATAAATGTGGTCTCCCTGATACCAAAATCTGGCCATGAAAGTCCAATGCAAAAATTCTGCTTAGTTTATTGCAACAAACATAAATCCATCCCTCACCATTTAAAGCAGCAGCACTTTAAGCCAGTAGGGACTTCAGTAGTATGATTAATGTTTGCTGCTAGAAGAATCATCTAGTATCTGTAAGCCAAATGGGACTTAAGAGTCCTCAGACTTAATTAAGGAGTTAATACATTAATTTGTTTTTGTTCAGATAGTCACATCAAAAGTATATCAAATAAATTAAAGAGTTTCCTGCAACAACAATTAACTTGATTTTCTTTCATTCTACTTTTCTTGAACTTGTATTCAGAGCTAACAAAATAAATGAAATAGTTTGATATAATGAGTTTGTCAACAATATTAGCCAACTGCAGTCTTCACTGAATAAGCAAACAAAAGCATAAATTTGGAAGAACAGTAAGCATAGTTGGTCAGGGACTAGATATATCAACACAAGTATGTATGCTGAGTTCCTACATGTGTGCTTTTTTTTTAATTGAAAGGTACCTGATTCTGATAAGACCAAAACAGATCTATTTTCCAGTTAAAAAAAAATCCTAGCAAATTCCTGCAGCTTCTTAGTCAAAACAGCTACAGAAGTTTGGCCAGTAGCTACACATTACTGAAATGTGCTTTATTCTGCACAATGAAAACCTGAGCTTGACTAGCTTTTGGACCTAGTTACTTTACAAATTAATCTTGAAACTGGATGTGGGTGACCACTTTGGGGCTGTACTGAAGAAATTAATCTTCCACCTCAGTGCTTGTAAACAGAGGTCTGAAGCAGACAAACAGTTCTGAGATTTTACAGAACAACCATATCCCATCTCTCCAAGCTCTGCTTGCCAGCATCAAACGGCATTCCGCAGAATTAACAGTTGCTTGAACCAGTATTTGTTAATGTCCCTCAACATCTTTAGACAACACTACAGTCAAAAAATCACACCATTTCCAATAAGCAGTTATACACTACTTTGTACTGGAACAGTGATCCAATCACCACAAGTGATACCACAAGTAAATGGAATGGCATTAACATGGAAGAACAGACAATAAAAGTCTAATAAAACTTTTATTATATATATAATATATTCCTTTAAAATATATATATTATATTCCTTTGCAATATAATATATTCCTTTAAAAAATTACACAAAAACAAGCAAACTCTAGTTGTTATGAATGTCTGTAATAAATTCTTTCTGAATCCCAACTGTAGCTCAGTATATGGCTTTGCAGATGGTGCAGAAATTGAGACTTGACACTTGGCTATTTATTTCAAAATTTATACAGGTATTTGGGTAGGTCACTAGTAGCAGAAGTGTCAAATAATAATCATGGCTTTGAAAGCACAGCTAGCATTTGATTTGAAAAACTGGATTTAAAACAAAATATTAGCAGCTTGTATCTGGGCTTAGAGATTAAATCTCATAAAACAGGAATCATGAAAGATGAATGAGATTCTCTCCTTCAAAATAATAATGCTTTTCAACTTTTAAGGCCATTAATATGAGAAAAAAAGATCAACTTGCGTGGTTCATGCTAAATATCACTTCCTGATGTTTGCACAGGATCTAGATACTTTGATCTACCTCTTTGTCCTGCCCTTGGTACCTTTCTTTGTTATTACATAGTTAATAATTACTAGAGAGTTTTTGCTGGAACAGTACTTTGTAAGTTTATAATAATTTTATGTGATTGACATTTCCAAATACTGCTATATTTTTGTCTCATTGCAAACATATCGAGGAACATGTAAACAGGTAGAGAGTGATTCATGTCCTTACATCACGCATAATGTATTGGCCTAAGGTGACTTATTTTTTACATGCCCTTAATGTATGTTTTTAAGAACTCCAGTATCATTGTTAAAATAAGGGAGTTAAACTTTTTCAGCACCTTATTTGAAACTATGGACAGGAAAAATGAAGTAAAGTATCCTCCCATAAAGATCTATCTTACTGAAACTTGAAGAATTTGTGCAGGTTCATGTTTCAGATGATGCTTATATGTAAGCACAGAAGGCTTGGGAGGTTTTTTTTGCTTTAACATTTGTATGGGAAGAAACTAGATGAATTGTGCTTTTACATCTTCAGGAAAATAAATAAATTATTTATAATGTAATAAGTTAAATGGTCAAGTTTTATGTGATAACATGGTTTCCTAAAGTAATATTTTTTACTCCATTGTTTGGAGTATAATTTCTCCTTAGACATTTAATCTACAAATTACCAACAGATTTAATGTGAGTCTCACTGACATCTCCTAAAAACGTGGATAGTAAAGAAGACATTCCCTTCTTAAATTATTTTCTAGTCTTTCCCAGAGCATCACAGTTACAAGATAGTAACCATCATTGCAAATATGTATGATTTTTGCCCAGCATTCTGGCTGCCTCTTTAGTATTAAAGTTTTCATACTTAAGCCAAAGAGAATCTCTCAAATTCTGAAAATCTTTTTAACAATTTAATTCATATATCATTAATACACTTTTTAAAAGTTTTATTAGACTTTTATTGCCTGTTCTTCCATGTTAATGCCATTCCATTTACTTGTGGTATCACTTGTGGTGATTGGATCACTGTTCCAGTACAAAGTAGTGTATAACTGCTTATTGGAAATGGTGTGATTTTTTGACTGTAGTGTTGTCTAAAGATGTTGAGGGACATTAACAAATACTGGTTCAAGCAACTGTTAATTCTGCGGAATGCCGTTTGATGCTGGCAAGCAGAGCTTGGAGAGATGGGATATGGTTGTTCTGTAAAATCTCAGAACTGTATTTAAAAGAAAAGCTTACTAAGAAACCATGACTTTTGAGTAAGAGTTCTTTACACTAGAAAAAGGTTCTATGCAAGCACATGAATTGTATTAAATATGAGAAATTTCGCCTGCCATGACATTTCAGTAAGGTTTAGTTCTCTATTTTTTTAATAAATTCTTTTTATATCGTCTGAGTATTGTAACGTTCAGATTTTGTGAACAGACAATGTTTATTTTGACAACAGCCTCTAAGATGCAAAAGGAAAGCAGAAGCATAAAAGTGTTGTGGCTGCAAGGTTTGTAATCAAAGCATCTTCCTCTTTTGATTCGAGAGATGAATTTTCCAAGAACAATAGATGAATCAAAGCCAAGAAGAATTTAGTGAAGCACATAATCAGGTCTATAACTGAATAAAAAATCTAAAACTTACCATTTTTTTCCTTTTGTCTTGTTCTGTGGGAGGTTCCTCATCATCTGTAGCTTTGGGCTCTTCAAAATGAGACATTAACATGCAGCTAAAAAGGGAATAAAAGAAGTTTTAACATTCATTACCATTAAAAATTACTTGAAAGCTCTTCTAAAAACACAAAATAGATATGAGAGAGTTTGCTGAAAGTCAAATGATCTGTTAACAGGTAATTTTTTTCTGAAAACAGTGAATCGGATGAAGCCTGAATGCTTGTTCTTTGTCACCTCAATCCATGTAACAGTCTCAGCTATTTTCCACATTTTAGCTTAAGATGTGGTTTTAAAATGCATTTCTGTATATAGAAAACAGACTATATGGTTTTGAAATAGAATTAGTACAGAATAACCTACTGTTCCTAACTAGAATTTTCCATTCTTTTCAAGAAAGTGCTATACAAGCACTCTATCCTATCAGCATAGAAGTCAAAGTGGCACATATACAAAGCTAGCAAAGATTTGTCATAGCATTCATGTTTTTCTGTGAGATCTTTAATATGAAGACCTGAAAACTAATAAGGGCACTGCTACTGGTTCTACACTAAAATCTAGAAGACCCTGAACAATAATGTTTTAGGTGAACAGAAATGAGCTAGCTTCTGCAGACATTTACTGTTTCTAGGTAGGTAAAGCAAAGGTTTTAAATTTATTTCTTGTTTTGCTTCATGCTCAACTGGCAATATACACAAGTAACAGCCTTATTTTAACTATGATTTTTGTAGTAAGTGTAAAACCAGAAAATATGGAGAAAAAAATAGTTTAAATGTCAGAGGTTTTTCTGCCTCTTAAAACAGTTTGAATGCTCTTTACAAAGACATTGATGAAAGCTATCCTATAACAAGCATGTCTTCCATTCTCTTCACATGCTCCACACTGAAAGAATTCACAAATATTCCACCACTTTACCAAATTTTTTCCCAGAAAATCTGCCTTAAAAACCAAAAGGACTTAAAACCACTCAGGTGACAACTTGCCACTGTGTATTAGGGATGTTTTAATACATGAAGGACACAGAATTCACACACTACAAAGAACCAAGACAGATGCACATTATTGCTCATTTTCAATTGTGCACTACTGTGTGTTTTTAATTGCTACATTTCACTAGCAGGTAAAATGCCCCTTCAGCTAAGATGAATAATGTATTTTAAAGTTACTAAAATGAAAAAAAGTTGGGATTTTATGTGATTCTTATATGATTTTATATGAAAATATTCAGCTTTATTATGTTTATATATTTAGTTTTCTATTAACATGTGTTTAGAGCTGTATGAAACACTTGCTAAACAGCATGGCAAGCAGGGTCAAATGCTAACACAGAAGCCATTTCTAATAAAGGGATTAGTTATTTCAAAATAATACAGCAAATTGCATGTCTCCTCTGCTTACATATGGCTTCTTTTAACTCAGTTTATTAAAGAAGAAGGAGACAAAAATTGCAACTGCCAAAACATACAAAATTCAACTAACTTTTTCAGACCTTGATAAATTTTAGGTGCAACAAAGAGTAATTCAAAACACAAGAAGAGGGAGAATAAAAGAAGAGATGATGATAAAATCGGGGAAAATGTGAGCGTTGGTGAGACAAGACTAGAGCAATGGAATGCTCTTCTTCCCAGATAATCCGAGGTCTGTAAAGCTTTCTTACAATTATCACTACAATGCAAAACATGAGTGCTAGGAAAACTGTATTGCAAGCCAGGGTACCATGTAAACGTTTTCATAAACCGAATAAAATTCAATCTAAAAAGTGGCAAGACCTTTATCACTTCCAAAATCTCATTGCTCTAACTACAACAGTTTCTTCAGAATTCCTGTTTAAACATATTCATGGCCAGGTTAAGACGTTTAAACCACCACTGTCACTTAATCTGTACAATTTCCCTGTGGAAAATTTTCCTCTTCATCCTCTAGTGGCTGCAGTTTTGTATTGCTTCAGCCTTGATTTTCCCTATGCTAAACATGCACATTGTTTTACTTTCTGCACTACAGTAATTGGCTAATATGATAATCAGTGGAGTAAACATTTTTTTCTGAACCAGTTCTGGCTTAAATCATGCTTCTTTAACCTGGAGAGCCACAACAGTGCACACAATTTCAGATGTGTGCTATCACTTGACTTTCAGATGATGTCAAAATACAATACACAAGTGTTAGAATCTTTCAAACAGCTCATTCAGTACCTGTCAATATGAAATTATACCATCATTTTAAGCCCTCCTTCCCCCACTGTATCATTTTCTCTCAAGACCAAAAATTTCCTGTCTTACTAAAACATTCACTCTTGAGAAAATAGAACTACTATAAGCATGTCTTAACTGCCTACACTTCATATAAAACAGTACTGCCACTGTTAAACTCAACAAAATTAGATTTTTCCACTTACTCTTTGTATGATCCTGTTTCAGAATCTTCAGTCATAACATCATGTAGTCCTTCCACTGAAATGTTGATGATACCACAAAATTTATCTTGGATAACACTGTAAAAGACCAAAATTTATCTTGGATAACATTGGAAAAGAACAGGAAAATGACTCAGCTAAAGGAACTACATGTGAAATTTGCTGAATAACTGTAGAGCACATTTACCAAGAGGTATTTTCCCTGCTTACTGCTTAGCTGAGCATGCAATTAATTCAGTATTTTTCTAATTACAAAATGGCTTCAAAATATGTAAGAAACATTATTCTTAAATATAATAAAACCTGATGTGCCACTGTTGAAAACTTAGAAATAATTGTAAATTAATAAAAGAAAATACGCACTAGCACAGGAGTCAAGAACTGAGTGAGAAGGGCATGCCCCTGCTAGCAGGAAGGTCAGGATTACTGGCTTCTACTCCCAACACCATTTCTGGCATCACTATTCAATGCATAAACCTACACACAAATCCTTAAGCAGTGACAGTTTGTAAAAATGGTATATTCCCTTACTTACATGTGTTTCTTCACCCTACTAGGCAGCTGACTCCCCAGAAAGGGTGTAAAATCCCTGCACCCAGTTCTGTGCGAATGTCACTTCCCTGACTATAGAGAAAGGTGTGGCAGGATTTCTCTGCCTAAACATGGGCACTTCCTGCCATTTGAAATACCAGGCTATTTAAGACAAATGCAAAGGGCTGGTAGGTATTACTCAGGACTTGAGCGCCTTTACCCAGCACGACCTGAAGGCCAGATTAGACACCCCCATAATGCCCAAAATTACGCTAAACACGTTTACACTTGCCCCTGCCTTGAGAATTGATGTGTCTGTAGGGTAGGGACATCAAAACATGATCTTCCTAGGATGGATAAAGTAGGTGCCACCAACTCCTAGTTAATGGAAAGTAGTCAACTTCTAGCTTCCACTCAATTTCCGGCTACTCTGGACCTAATGTCAGAGATGTGGGATTGTGGGACCTTGGTGCTTCCTACTCTGCAAAGGAGTAGAGAAACACTGCAAGTAAAAAGATGTTCATCTTGGGAAAACTGAAAAAATTCCACCTACATACAGGAAAAAAAGAAAAAGGGCCTAACTGGTTATGGTAAACTATAACTCTCTTCCTGGGACTGCCATTGACTGAAGCACTTTATTGCTTCCTGTTTGTAATTTCAGGCTTAATTATCCCCAAAAGATGCTGCTGCCACCACTGCCCAATAGGCAGAAGCAGACACATTCCATTTATTTACAAGCACTGAATACTAAGTTCATGCATTGTAGTTTGATTGTAGCCGATCCCAGATTAATCTATTTCTGAATACTTTTTCATTTCCTTTTCTTATTTGGGATGAAAACTGAAGACACAGATAAACTGTAGCCCCTTGTATATTAGTTACTGCATTTGAAAAGCTTCTTATCAGACATACAACAAAATTTTACATATATGACTGAGTTTATATAGCAATAGATGCTTTGAAAAAAATGTTTAACAAGTTAGAATACTAAGTACAGAAAATATTTCTTTTATATTTGTTTTGATAAAATTACGATTCAACTCATGATCATTTTGTTTCCAGTGAATTATTTTTGTTCACTTTTTTTTATTCAGCTACTGCCAAATGCCAGGATCCTGAACTGTATTTTGTATGATCAAACTTGAAACTCCTGAATTCCACAAAATGAAAACTGACACAATTTTCATTATTTGATTGTCAGCTTTGTATTTTAAAAAGATACTTTCTCCCTTGCCCAAAAGCTTCCTCATCACATTCGGAACAGCGAAGCACTACACGTTGTGAGAATTCTCTGTGAGGTTCTGCAGACAGCAAGCAAACAGCAAACAAACAGCCTACCCACCTTACAGCACTACTGAAAAAGTGAACACTGCCTACTCAGCAGCCTGCATAACGAGCCCTCAGAGACAGAGCACAGTTCCTCACAGAGTAAAAAGTTCCTTCCTACCTACACACCTCCCATTAAAACTCTTCTGCCTCATCGTTTTGTTTGAAATGCATCTCTAGGAAAATGCCATTAATGTGATTAACATTTTCTAACATGAAAAGAGTAACAGCTGTCCTCAGATTTATGACAATAGAGGACAAAGGGCATTCAACTGAGAACAACTGTGAACACTTTGCACCCTGGAAAAGTAAACTATGCCCTGTTCATACACACTATTTAATTTATAATACAGATTCCTGTACACTACCTGTATTACTTCTTCCTTCCAAGCTTCATGAATCATAGAATGGTTTGGGTTGGAAGGGACCTTAAAGATCATCTAGTTCCAACTCACCTTCCACTACACCAAGTTGCTCAAAGCCCCATCCAACCTGGTCTTGAACAATTCCAGGGATGGGGCATCCACAACTGCACTGAGCAACCTGTGCCAGTGTCTCGCCACCCTCACAGTAAAGAATTTCTTCCTAACATCCAATCTAAACCTACTCTCAGTTTGAAAGCATTCTCCTTTGTTCTGTTAGTACAGTTCCTAATGAAGAGTCCCTCTCTGGTTTCCCTGTAGGCCCCCTTCAGATACTGAAAGGTTGCTATGAGGTGTCCATGCAACCTTCTCTTCTCCAGGCTGAACAGCCCCAACTTTCTCAGCCCATCTTCGTAGGGGAGCTGCTCCAGTTCTCTTATCAACTTCATGGCCCTGCTTTGGACTTGCTCCAACGGTTCCATGTCCTTATGTTTGGGTGGGATCTCATGAGATCAGAGTAGAGGGAGAATCACCTCCCTTGACCTGCTGGCCACACTGCTTTTGATGTAGGCCTTGATTTTGTTGGCTTTCTGTGCTGCAAGCACACACTTCCGGCTAATGTTGAGTTTTTCATCAACCTTTACCCCAAGTCCTTCTCTGCAGGGCTACTCTCAATCCTTCTTCAACCAACTTGATGAAGAATCCAAGAAAATTTTATACTGGGAGAGGAAAAAAAAGGTTTTTAACACAATGAAGGCATAGCCTTTTGATCAGCTGCAGGGTTAATTATGGTCAACATATTCAGGGAGGTTACTTCAATTATCCAACATGTAAATAAATACTGTAGGCATAGTGCTCATTAACTCCATGAGTTTTTTCCATACTTGCAGATTGGCAGAAGGAGCACACAGGGAAGCCCATTTCAGTAAACTGTGTTTCCAAGGATCTATGAAAGTTCCAGAAGAAATACAAGATAGTGGTTGAAGACCCAAAACACTGTCCTCGATAACTGGACATAGAGAAATCATTGATTTCTTTACTTAGAAAGTAAAGAAATGGCATACATGAGAAATTATATTTTACTTCTTTTTTTTAGTAAAGGTTCATGAGAATTTTTCTTTTTTGAGGAAAACAAAGCTAAAGAATGTACAAGACCTTTCAAAATTAAGCAACTTGCCTGCAGCTTTTAGTAAAGATAACACCTTCTCTTTTCTCCCCTTCCTTCTTTTTTTCCTTTAAATGGGGCATGGATTTTCTTTCTACCAAAGACTCACTGAAATGTTTACCTGGTATGGAACCATTATACAATGGAACTATTTTTAGAACACAAGATACATGCTGGTGGAAAATAAAGATAGCAAAGACTCATGCTTTAAAAAAACAAATCTCAGTTAAGGTTCAGTGGCAGTATAAAACGCATCAGGCCTTATTTTCATAGATGACAAAGCAAGCCAAGCAACTCAGTGTAGTACCTTTTTAAAGAGAATAAAATTAGCCTGCTTGTTTCAAGAAATACATTAAAAAGTCATATGAGTAGATACAGAAAAGACAGACACTGTTTTTAGATGAAATTTCAAAACAGAGCAGTTAATGCTGTCCATACTAAAATCTTATACCTTAAGGATGTTACCATTTAAGCAGTTTCCCCCTTGAATTGCATATAATTGAGATCATCAATGAAACAAACATCATCATCAAGTTATAACTGGTTTTATATCTACCTGGTCTTCCTAAGTAATTAGGACAAAACCTCATTTGGTATGCAGGACCTAAAACACTCCAGAACCCAGTCTCAAAGATATAACAAATACATTATTTTGTTAATTACAGAAAGGATATTTTATGCTGCCTGTTAATATAATGCACCTTGCCTATAATGAAAATAAAATGTAGCATTTAGGGCAGCTTCTACCTGAATAATCTCAAACCTTTTATATCAAAGTTTGTATAATTTTTTAGATAAAAGAATAAAAGCTTTGCAAAGGACAAACCAGACCACATCTGTTCTGAAAAAAAGTATTCATTTTTTCTCATTCTGCTTATAATTTCTAATACACTCAGCTCTGTATTCAACTTTTTTATTATTCTGAGGTTTTATGTAAAAATTCACAATTTTTATTTTAATTACACAGATAAATAGTGTAGATAAAGCTTTATCATCAGCTTAAAGCATATGTCATGATGAATTTTTAGTGGTGCTTAAATAAAATGGACCCCATGTCTCCTATGCATCTCCCTCAGAAAGGAAAAAAAAATCTGTATGGGAAAACATACTTTTTTAGAGATTAAAAGAAAAACAACATAATTTCTGCTTTTCTATATTCACCGGGGAAGCAATAAACAGTTTGATTTCATATCTTTACTAGTGTACAGATTTGAGAAAGATTAATTAATTCTTTATTCTTATCTCATTAGCTAAGGAAAGAAGTAGAGAGGGACAAACGGAGATTACTTTGCACATACTGTGAGCAACATAAATGATTATTGCACCTCACTCCCCCCTCTTAGGAGCTGCACAGTACTAGGGAGGTCCTACAACAATAAAGTAGCAGCGAAGACAACATTAGCAGGGGAGCCCTATGACTCACTAACGTGGTCTCCATGAAACACCATTTTGTTTCATGGGTGCAGACTCACCTAATATAGCTCAACTACATCTTCTAATGTATTCCCTAATGATTTTAACAGACATATGAACCACACGTGTACATGAAAGGGTCTGTTTTCCTGGTGTGAACATTTAAATACAAAAGATACTAACTCAAAAGAAAGGCATTTCCCTCACAATTGCATAATGAATTTCTCAGTTCCTTGGTAGTCTAATCCCTACGTTGCCAAGCTGGATTTTAGAGGATATCT